CTGGCCGGGGCAGATGGAGTTCCTGTGCCATATTCGTGCGGCCTGCACACACATGGACTCGGACTCTGCACGTGAAGCCTGTGCACGTGCCACACATCATGCCAGTTTTGGTCTGGCGCACACATCTATAGTTGTGTGGGTTCTATACATGTGCCTTATACCCGTGGAACATGTGAGGCTAAGTCTTGGATACCACCTAAGGCATTTCTCCTGGACCCTTCCCTCTCCTGAAACCACAGAGGGGAGAAGACCTCTGATTGTTGCGTGTCTCTGTCTACCGCTTCTTTCCTGTGGGCCTCCAGAAGCCCCTTGTGGGCTGCCATCCAGCCTGATAGCTCTGTGTGTTCTGCCTCGGCGCCTAGCACACACCAGGAGCTCAATAAATGTCTGTTGATTAAGGACGTACAGTTTTCTACTGTGCACTTCATTTTCCTGATGGCAGACAGTGTGTGTGTGGGGTGTCAGATGATGGAAGCTGGGGTTCCGGTTGGATCGCCCACCCTTGCTTCTCCTGCTGTGAGTTGCCAGCATTCCTACAGGATATTTCACCTTTAATCTAAACGTGTCTCTCCACCGAACGTGGGAAGAGCCATGATCGTGTGAAGCGTACAGTGTGAAATGCTAGCCTTTGAGTGTCAATCTGCCTGAGAGACTAGCTCTACTAAAAACCCTCTGACTCTGGGCTGAGTGGCAGTGGCAGCAGACACCTGTAAGCCCAGCACTCCTGTCGGGAGAGGCTGTCGGATCTCTGTGAGTTTGAGACCAGTCTGGTCTACAGCGTGAGCTCCAGGACAGCCTGAGAAACATGGAGGAACCCTGTCTTGAAAAACTAAACAGAACAAGAACTTCTCTGAGTCCCCTCCAAACTTCATAGTCAGGACCCCATCTTTTCCTCTTCATCACCCCCAGTGCCACGAAAACTACCAGGTCTCAGTTTATCTTACGTTTCCTGGATAAAACCACCATCGGCCAGTGTGATGGCACACGTTTTTGTTTGTTTGTTTGTTTGTTTTTAAGACGGGTTTCTCTGTGTAGCCCTGCTTCTCCTGGAACTCATTCTGTAGAACAGGCTGGCCTCAGATCCTCCTGCCTCTGCCTCCCAGAGTCCTAGGATTACAAGCGTGTGCCACAGTACCAGGCTCGCACATGCTTTCAATCCCTGTACTCAGGAGGCAGAGACAGGAGGATCTCCTGAGTTTGAGGCCAGTTTGTCTCCAGAGTGAGTTCCAGGACAGCCAGTAATATGTAGAGGAACCCGTCTGTCTCAAATTAAAAAAAAAAAACAAAACAACGAACCAGCCATGTGGTGGTGGTGCGCACCTTTAATCCCGCACTCACAAAGCAGAGGGAGGCTGGTCTACAGAGTGAGTTCCAGAGCAGCCAGGGCTACACAGGGAAACTGTCTGAGAAACGTAAACACACAAAGAAACAAACCCAAACAGACAAACAGGAGGGGCATAGGTGGAGAAGAGGGAGGAGAAGAGGGAGGAGACGAGGGAGGGGCCGCAGCTGGGATACAAAGTTAATACATTGTAGTAAATAATTAATAAAAAAATAAAAAAATTAATTATATGACATTTTAAAAGAGTCACTAAAAGGTAACTAATATGTTTCAAAATGGAAAAGAAAACCAGACACAATTTGTGGATTGTAAAGAAGGCACTGAGATAAGATCAGCTCTCTTTGTAGATCCATTTTTATGTATATAAGTGTTTTGCCTGTAAGTATGTATGTGCACCAAGAGCTTGTACAGTGCCCTCAGAGGTCAGAAGAGGATGTAGGAAATAAAGTTAGGAATGGTTGTGAACCACCACGCGGGTTCTGGGAATGAAAGTCTGATCTTCTGCAAGAACAGCAAGTGCTCCTAACAGCTGAGCCCATTGAGGTTCAGTATTTTTCACTGCATTTTAAAGATAAACTTAGTCAATGTGTAAACCTGGGAAGATCTTATATATAAAACTCTAGATTCTGGCTGTCTCTTAACGAATGGGAGTTTTGGTTTCCTGGGACTTGCCTGTTCTCAGGAGCAAGCACTGGCTATCCAGTTAGTTGGGACATGAATTCTCTCACTGCCAGGGTCCCTTCTACATAATGCTATCCTAAGTCAAGTGTAAGCAGCCATTTGCCACCAACCTGGTGCTGCTGCTGTTCGCAGGAGAAAGAGGAAAATGAAGAAAGAAAATCAAAGTCAGAATTTTTAAAATTCTGATTTAAAAAAATTAAACCCGGAAATGGCAATATGTTTGGTAAGAGAAGGGAGGAGTCAAGATGTCAAAAGGGCCAAGCTTTAAAGTTGGCAAACAATCTCTGAGTCATGAGAGTATAAACTCATTCCTTTATACCACCCACTTTAGATGCTCTGTGTTGTAAACCTTGTTCTACATTTTGCAAAATGCTTCAGTACCCATGATCTCTTTCCATAACAGGCAGTGTGTGGCCGTGGAGCTGGTAAAAGTTGGGGTCTTCTCTCTATATTGCAAAGACAGACAAAAAAGGCATCCTAGGAAGGGTTAAGTAGGCCTACCTAAAGCCAGGAGGGAAGGAGCAACTAAGAAATGAAAGTCTGTTTCCTGGCCCTTCATTATGCTAAAACTGCCTTCTTACCTTATCACTAAAGGCCCACCCTGCCATTGTAATTCCCGAAGGAAGGAGTAAATACAAAACTAAATATAATGAGACCTAAAAAGATAAAAGGTCTGGATGTTGTAATGCAAGCCTCAATCCAGCTTTTTTTTTTTTTTTTTTTTTTTTTTGAGACTGAATCTCTTTATGTAGTACCAGTTCCCTGCACCCATTATGTGGGGCCTGGAACTCTTACAGACCCAACTGTCTTTCAAGTGATGAGACTAAAGGCATACTCTATGACACCCATCCCAGCTCTTGAGAGGATCCCTTAAATTCAAGTTTTCAAAACTGGGCTGGGTTGCGGCACATAGCTTTTTTTTTTTTTTTTTTAATATGTTTCAGTGTTTTGTTCCTATGTATGTTCTGTGTACCACGTGGGAGCTCAGTGCCTACAGAGTTGAGAAGAGGGTATCAGATCCCCTGGAACTGAGGTTAGAGATAGTTGTGAGCCACCGTGTAGGTGTTGGGACTTGAGCTTTAGAGGGACCCATGGCACTTTAATACACAGTGAGATCCTGTCTCACACAACACCAAGAAGAAAGATTTCAGGACTAAACTGGGAAACTGAGCAAGGTCCTAACTTAAAGGAAACCAAACAAAAGAAAACAAAAATATGTTCCATTGCTTGTAGGCATATAGGTGAGAAACTCATCACAATATTGGCTGAATAGTAAGCACTCAGTAAACACTGAGGGTTCTTCTTTTTTTCTTTTTCTTTTTTGGTTTTTCAAGACAGTGTTTCTCTGTGTAGCCTTGGCTGTTCTGGACTTGCTCTGTAGACCAGGCTGGCCTCAAATTCAGAGATAAGCTTGCCTCTGCCTCCTTGATTGCTGGGATTACAGGCCAGTGGCACTGCACCAAGTCTCTCTCTCTCTCCCAGGTCAGGGTTTGTGTAGCTCTGGCTGTCCTGGAACTCACTATGTAGAGCAGGCTGGCTTTGATTCACAGAGATCTAACACCCAGAGCTGGTATTAAAGGCATGTGCCACTTTATCCAGCTATTGTGTAAAAAAGGAGAGAGAGAGAGAGAGAGAGAGAGAGAGAGAGAGAAGAAAGAAAAAGAAAGAAAAGAAAGAAAAGAAAGAAAGGAAGGAAGGAAGGAAGGAAGAAAGAAGAAAGAAAGAAAGAAAGAAAGAAAGAAAGAAAAAAGAAAGAAAGAAAGGAAGGAAGGAAGGAAGGAAGGAAGAAAGAAAGAAAGAAAGAAAGAAAGAAAGAAAGAAAGAAAGAAAGAAAGAAAGAAAGAAAGAAAGACCCAGCGCAGAGCCTGGGTGGCTGCATTGGGTGGGGTGGGTTCTGAGTTTAGAAAAATTGAGTTCTGGGAATGTGAAATGGTTCAGTGCATAAGAGTGCTTGCCACCATGCCTGACGACAGAGTTCAATCCCCTGGACCTAAATTAGTGAAAGGAGAGAAGCAAAGCAACTCCTGACTGATCCCTCTGATCCCTATCTCTGGCCTTCTCCCCTCCCCCGAGCATGCCATTGCTTGCGAGCACTCCTTCCCATAAATTAAAAACAAAACACCAAATTCTGCTACTTTGTCACAGTGCTGGGTCGTATAGGGTTGTTTGTTTGTTTTCAATATGTACAATTGGAAATGGAATTTAATTTGTAGCACTAGTAGGCCACAAAGACTCGAAGTTCTTCACTTTATCTGTAAAATGGAGGCGGCGGGGTTGTTTTTTTGTTTGTTTGTTTTTGAGACAGGGTTTCACTAGGTAGAGTAGGCGGACCTCAGTTTACCGATATCCGCCTGACTCTGCCTCCTAAACGCTGGGATTAAGAGTTCGGGCAATGACGCCCAACTAAAATGGAGTTTTGACGTTTAGAAATAACCAAAAAAGTCCATCATCAGAGCTTGTGACCATGTGAAGGTCTTGCCCCGCTACAGTAGGCCTCTGGGTATTTTCTTCCTGTTCCTGGTCTTTTATTTCTCTCTGCGAGTTCTAATCCAGACCAAACCTATTCTTTTTTAGCGGAGTGACCTCACGCCAAGTCTCTCTCCCTGGGAAGCCTTCCGCGCATTCTCGGTAAAATGAGAAAGTTGGCCTCTGCTCCCTACCCAAGCTCGCAACTGTGAGCCGGGCTACGGAGTTTACGGGGCCGACTCCCTCCCCCGGGACTCGATGGTATGGCCCCCGCACTCCCCCACCCCTCCGCCCCGGACTTTGGTACAGGCCCAGGGGGCCCGCGGCGGCTTCTCTGGGCTGCCCTTGTCCCCCCGCCGAGTTCCGGGCCCGGCCCCGCGTAATCTGATTGGTTAGAGCGGGGCCCGGGCTGGGCGGCTATAGGCGAGCTAGGGAGGGGAGGGCGGGGCGACAGGTCTGGCCCCGCCCCCGGGTCGGACGCCTTAAGGAGCCGCGGGCCGGCGGGCGGACAGATTGACGGGAGGGCCTGGCGGCTAGCAAGATGGCGCAGACTCAGGGCACCAAGAGGAAAGTCTGTTACTACTACGACGGTGAGCGGCGGCCTGGTGGCGGGGCCCGGACGGTGGGGAAGGGCTGGGGGAGGAGGCTGGGAAGAGGTCGAGGCTGAGGGAGGAGCCTGGGAGGAGGTCGAGGCTGAAATGGGAGGCTGAGGAAAAGTCGAGGCTAGAGGAGGAGGCTGAGGAGAGGAAGTCGAGGCTGAAGCCGAGATGGGGGTCGTGGAGGGGATAGCTTGGGGTAACCTCGGCGGCGGAGAGTCTCAGGGAATCCGACGTGAAGTTGGAGTGGACTCCGGGAGGGAAAGCTAAGCCCGGGGCGGGGGGGGGGGGGCATAATGTGATGGGGACGGTTTGTTTGCCAGGATAGCATTTTCTGTTGAGGATACAAAGGTCTTCACTGCCCGCTTGTCCGTTTTTGGGGGAGTTTGGCAGGGCTGGCCACCCGCGTCCCCTCCCCCACCTCACTCCCCAAGTCTGTGAGGAGGGCCTGCAGTTGCTGGTTGGGAAGTGGGGCGCCCCGGGGATGCCAGGAGAGAGATGCAACTTGTTAAACAGACTCTTCATTGAACCAGCATGGGCCAGCTTATCCTGGCCGGGGCAGTGTTTCTGTTGGGGCTCCTCTAGACTTCCCTGCCTTGAGTTCCCGTCTGAAGGGGGAGCTACACAAGTCACAATTTAGGTGTAGTGCTGGGATAAGGGTCTGTTCAGCTATGGAGAACGCAGAGAAGGGGCTTCAGCCCATTCTGAGCGAGCTGATGGGTGTTAGTGCTTAGGACCCAAGAACTGGAGTTACTCACCAGGCCCAGGGAAGTCGAGCAAGGATAGCACCATTATTTGAGACAGGGTCTCGCTGTGTAGCTCAGACTGGCCTTGAATCGATCGTCTTCCTCATCTTCCTGCGTGCTGACCCTAAGCCCGCACAGTTTTGTCCATCCTTTGTTTTCATGTTTTAGGAATAACTGTTGGGTTGTTTAGGGGACATCTAGCCAGCCAGCCAATAGGCGGTTGGCTATTTAGTTCTGAAAGTTAGAAGACATACTTTTGGTAATTGTCAGTATAAAATAATTGAGATAATGCCGGTTATGGTGGTGCATACCTTTAATTTCTGCACTCGGGGAGGCAGAGGCAGGCTGATCTCTGAATTTGAGGCCGGTCTGGTCTACAGAGTAAGTTCTAGACAGCCAGGGCTATATAGAGAAACCCTGTCTCCAAACAAAAGAAAAAGGAAAAACCACTAATAATAATAATAGGAATTTTAATTAGTTTAGGAAAGGGTATGGTAACTCAAGTTGTAGAGAGTGAAGATCTACTTTTTTTTTTTTTTTAAGTTTTGGAAACGGTCTCTGTGTAGCCCTGGCTGTCCTGGAACTCACTCTGTAGACCAGGCTTTCCTCCTACTCAAGGAGATTACTCTTACTCTGCCTCCTGAGTGCTGGGATAAAAAGGCTGTGCCTCTACCCCTGGCCTGTTTTCATTCTAAAGTGCACTGAGAAGGTCCAGTAGCCATGATTGCTCATCTGCCATGCTGTCTTTCTCTTTCAACTGTTAGCTACATTGCTGTTCCAGTCTTGCCCAGTGCTGGGGGTGACAGGCCTTAGCCACCAAGTCTGGATTGTTCTTGTTTCTGTTTTTTTTTGTTTTTGTTTTGTTTTTTTTTTTTTTTTTTTGCTTTGTTTTTCTTTTTTGTTGTTTTTTGAGACAGGATTTCTCTTTAACAGCCCTGGCTGTTCTGGAACTCACTTTTGAACACCAGACTGGTCTCAAAATCCCAGAGATCCACCTGCTTCTATCTCCCACGTGCTAGGATTAAAGGTGTGGATGACCATGCTCAGCAACCTCATTTTTTTATTTATTTTTTCTTGTTTCTTATACATGGTAAGTTTCTTGGAGAACAGTCTCTGTATCCCCGGTTCCTAAAATGTTTGGTAGCTCCTAATAGACAGGGTTTCTCTGTGTCGCCCTGGCTGTCCTGGAGCTCACTCTGTAGACCAGGTTGGCCTCAAACTCAGATCTGCCTGCCTTTGAAATATTTTCGAGTTTATAATAGAATTGCAGAATTTTCCCTCCTTCTCTTTTTTCTTCCTCTTCCTTCTCTTTTTTTTTCTTGAGATAGGGTTTTTCTGTGCAGCCCTGGCTGTTCTGGAGCTACCTCTGTATACCAGGCTGGTCTTGAACTTACAGAGATCATTCTGCCTCTGCCTCCTGAGTGCTGGGATTAAAGATGTGTGTCACTTCTTCCTAGCAGAGGTTTCCCCTTTTCCTTTCAACTCAAAGGGAGACTTTCAATAAATATTTGTTGTGGCTGGGTGTGACACTCACCTATAATCCTGGCTCTGGGAGAGGCAGGTAGACCAGCCTGGTCTGCAAAGGGAGTTCAGGACAGTCAAGGGTACACAGAGAGAGAGAGAAAAAAAAAAAAGTTAGAGGTTTGTTGGTTAAATGAAGAAAGGAGGGCATAGAGAGCTGTCTCAGCAGCTGATAGTGTGTACTGCTCTTCAGAGGACTAGAGTTCAGTTTCTAGCGCCCATACTGGTTGGCTCACAATGCCTATAACTCAAACTGCGGGGTTCCAGCACCCTCTTCTGGCTTCCACAGGCACCTGCACAGCGTACATACGTAGCCCCGCATAGATAACACACCACACACATAATTAAAATATGACGTAGAGTGGCTGGATACATAGCTCAGCAGTTTAGAGCACTTCCCACTGAGGATCAATTTCTAGGACCCACATGTCAACTCACAACCATTTGTGACTCCAGTTTGAGACAATCCAGTGACTTCTTTAGGCTTCATGTGCTAGACAGGACTGTGGTGCTAGATATACATACAGGCAAGACATTAATACACACAAAATAAGTAATTGGAAGGTTTTTTTTTTTTTCTTTTTTTTCCAAGACGGGGTTTCTCTGTGTAGCCCCAGCTGTCTTAGAATTTGCTCTGTAGACCAGGCCAGCCTTGGAACTCAAAGAGATCTGCCTCCCTGCTGGGATTAAAGGCCTGTACCACCACTGCCTGGTTGAGGGATTGGGGCAGAAACTAGATTGGAATAGATTCAGAATTAGTGGAGAGGTGAAGAGGACACTTTAGCTTGAAGTTTTTAATTTATTTTTGAGACACAATCTCTATACTTTGTCAGCCTGCAACTAACAGGTCCACTTGCCTCTGCCTCCAGAGTGTTGGCTTTAAAGGTGTGCCCCTACACCCTCTAAGATAGAGTCATGGTATGTAGCCTTGAAAGAGTCTTTACAAGACAAGTTGGGTGGTGGTGGCACAACCCCTTTAATCAGAGCACTTGGAGGTGGTGGTGAGGATCTCTTGAGTTTGTGGCCAGCTTTGTGGCCAGCTTGATCTGTAGCTTGAGTTCCAGGACAGCCAGGGCTAAACAGAGTAACCCTGTCTGGGGGCGAAGGCGGGGGTAGAATCTTTACATAAAATAATCAAGAGGTTGAAGACACAGAGAAGGGGCTGGCTGCTAGTGACAGAGGAGACAGCTGAGCCAGAAGCCTAAGTCCACACAGGTGTACTAGTCCTCAGTGGGGTTTATGATGTCAGGGGACAAGGAAATTGTCAAGTGTAGGTAAGTTTGAAGGTAGAAGATTGGGAGAAAGGGCAGGGAATCCTCACGGGGAAGTAAGCATACTTTTGCGCCAGTCAGGGAGGCATATTCCTGTGTGTCTACAGTACAGACTGCTGATGTTTTCTGGGAAGCCCATGTAGGAAATATTTTGGTTTAGGCTTTGTTTTTTGTTTTTTGATATGGGGTATAGCCCTGGCTTGCTTGAAACTTTCTACGTAGACCAGGCTGGCCTTAAACTCACAGAGATCTGTCTGCTCTGCTTCCTAAGTGCTGCTACTGTTTTTGAGACAGTATCTCACCATGTACCCCAGGCTGGCTCTCTAGCCTCCTACCTCAGCCTCCTGGGTGCAAAGCTGGGGCAAAGGTTATGGATGGGTGCTGCAAATGCCTGCTTTATTTTAGGCATTATTTTGCCATATAATAGGTTGGTCTCTGCATCGGCTACTTAACTACTTAGCTCTGTGGTTGTGGTGTGAAAACAGCCACAGATGCTTTATGAATTAATGGCCAAGGCTGCTTCCAACAGAAGTTTACTTATGAAACTAGACAGCTGTGCTGGTTGGTGAGCAGCCACAGGTGAAGCTGGAAAGGCAGTGTCTTATTTATGGTGTCTGTTGCTGTGACGAAACACCAGAGAGCAAGCTGTGGAATAAAAGGTTTGTTTGGCTTATTCCTTCACATGTAGTCCATCACTGAAGGAAGCCAGGACAGGACCTCAAATGGCAAGGGCCCAGAGGCAGAAGCTGGGCCCTTAAGCAGTGTTCTTAAGGTTATGGAGGGGTGCTGCTTTCTAGCTCGTTCCTTAGCCCCCCTCAGCCTGCTTTCTCAGGGGTGACCCCACCCACAATGGGCTGGGCCCTCCCCTCCCCCATCAATAACTGATTAAGAAAATGCTCTACAAGCTGGCCCACAGAAGCCCAGGTTTATGGAGACATTATTTCAGTTGAAGTTTCCTCCACCCAAAGTATAGTTTTTGTCAAGCTGACATAAATCTAGCCAGCCCAAGGCAGATTAAACAAATCTTTACTCACAGTCTATTAAAGTCAAGGCCCATTGGCAGGAGGAGCTGTTAAATTATTATTATTATTTTTAGCAAGTGGGGGACGTTACAAGCTGTGCATTAGGAGAAATAAGTGGCAATAACATGAAAGACAGTTTGAGTCAAAGGCCAAGAACAAGTTAGAAGCAATTTCTGTCGATGAAACACACAGCAAGAAAGTTAGGTTTATCTGTAGGCTGTGGGTTATAAGGAATTCCGGAATTCCTTACAGGAGCAGTGAGATGAGTCGCCTCACTGCCTGCTCTTTCCCGGTGGATTTACCCACTGTTTTAAGGAGAAAATGGGCTAGATTCGCTCAGGAATTACTCTTATTCAAGGTGGAAAGAACTTGGAAATGAACATTAGTGTTCTGGTGGTTTGCTGGGCTCCCCTGGGAAGGTGCCTAACTGTCACTGAAGCTTCAGGGTGGGAGAGATGGCTTAGCAGTTAGGAGCACTGTCTGTCCTGAGGACTGGGGTTCAGTTCTCAGCACCCACATCAGGCAGTTAGTGTTCTGTATAGTGTCCTGTCTGCATGTGCACCTGCATACCAGAAGAGGGTGCCAGACCTCATTGTTGCTAGTTACAAGCCACCATGTGGTTGCTGGGAATTGAACTCAGGACCTTTAGGAAGAGGAGCAGTGTTCTTAACCTCTGAGCGATCTCTCTAGCCCGAAAGTAAAAAATCTAAAAAAGCCAGGTGGCAGCGCTTGGAAGACAGAGTTAGGTGAATCTCTGACTTTGAAGTCAGTTTTGTCTACAGGATAGCCAGGAGTACACAGAGAAACCCTGTCTCAAAAAACCAAAATAATAAAATAAATAACTTATTCTCTTCTTCAGGGGATGTTGGAAACTACTATTATGGACAAGGCCATCCAATGAAGCCTCACCGAATCCGCATGACTCACAATTTGCTGCTGAACTATGGTCTCTACCGAAAAATGGAAATTTATGTGAGTTACCGGAGTGTTGCCCCTGCCTAACCTCATCAGCTTTGGTTCCCTGTGGGCATTCCTTACATTCTCCACTGCTCATTCATTCAGTGGCTATTTTGGCAGGTAGTTTTAAGGATTTTGGTGTCAATACCATTTGTAAACAAGCAGGTTTTACTCTGGTATGTATATGTAGTAATTAAAGAGTGTTAATGGTAGAGAGGTGAGGAATGAAGAAAGAGGGAGCCTTGAAATGTTTCTCAGAAGGTTTAAAGATTGAATAGAAAGATAAGTGTGATCTGTAATTCTGGGTCTTTGAAGGTAGAGGTAGGATTGGGATTTCAAGGCTAGCCTCAGTGGTCGCATCAATTCAGAGCCAGCCTGGGTACAATGAGACCATAGCTCCCAACAAGAAAAAGAAAATGACTAGAAATTAGTCTAGTGTTCACAGAGAGACTGGAATCCCAGGTCAAAGGTTGAACAGAGGCGGAAAGCAGCAGTGAGGCTGACATGGTATTTTGAGAGAGTGAAAGTTCAGTGAATAAGTGCTCAGTAAGCTAAACATGGAACCACTAACTGTAATCCTGTCACTTGGGAAGTTGAGGCAGTGGATTGCTGAGAATTCAGGGCTGGCCTGGGCTATATTCTTGAATGAGTTCCAGACAGAACTCTGTCTCATAAATAACCTGAAAAAACCCAAAACAAACAACCGTGCCATGCAGTGCTTTAGTCCTAGCACCCTGGAGGCAGAGGCAGGCTGATCTTGAGCTGAGGCCAGCCTGGTTTACACATTGAGTTCCTGGTGGCTAGGATTACACAGAGAAACTCAAAAAACCAAAGAAAACAAAAAAATAACCAAAGGAGGAAAAGAAAAAAAAAGAGAAGAGTATGGACTGTTTTTCGACACCACACCTCTATCTCTCTCCGTAACTGAAGATGACCTATGAACTTTTGGTTCTCTTGGCTGCCCTTCCCAAGTGTTGGAATTACACCGTGCACCGTGTCTATTTTTATGTAGCAGCTTGAACACAGTTTTTTGTCTTCACATGCTAAACTTCCAAACTAAGCTACATCTCCAGCCTCAGTGTAAACTTGAGTCTCATTTCCAGATACAGCTCTAATTTTGTCTGAGCTTTCAATTTTAAAAGAGAAACTGGAACTTTGGATTATATAATGCCTCCTAAGTTTAAGATATTGGCTCAAGGTTATTGTCTTTGTTTTTATTTTGTTGGTGAGTGTTATACAAGGCTGTGATCCCCAGCACTGTTTTTGTCTTTTAGCATGTATGCAAGCAAAACACACCAGTATACCTGTAGGCCCGATTTGGCTCGATTCTTAGTTTGAATGAACTTTTCCAGAGTCAGTGAGGAATGAATACAGAGCTTTTTTTTTTCTTTTGGCTTATTTGAGATAGGGTTTTGTTGTCTATGTAGCCTCAACTGGCCCCAAACGTAGGCAGTCTTGTTGCCTCCCAAATTTGTTGTCATATGTCGAAGGCTGGCTTCCAACTCAGCATGCAGTAGAGGGTGACTCTGAGCTTCTGACCTGCCTCCACCTCCCAAAGCTAGCATGAGAGGCATGTACTAGTATGTCCAGTTCATACAGTGCTGGGCACTGAGCCCAGGACTTCATGCACAAAAAGCACTCTGCCCACTCCGCAGTGGCAAATACCTGTCAGTTGGGTGAGATGACGCACACCTTTAATCCTAGTGCTCTGGAGGCATAGGCAGGTGGATTTTGTGAGTTCAAGGCCAGCCAAGACAAACCTTGTCTAAGAAATAAATATAGCCTTTAATCCCAGCATTTGGGAGGTAGAGACAGGGGGATCACTGAGTTTGAGGACAGACTGCTCTATAGATTGATTTCTAGGACAGCATGGCTACAAAAAGAAACCCTGTCTTGAAAACCACACACACACAAAAGTGTGTGTGTGTGTGTGTGTGTGTGTGTGTGTGTAATTTAAAAATCAAGCAAATAGCAGAAATGTCAAGGCCAGTTATCTTTGGGGTTATCCCAGCAGAATGAGAAAGACAGGCTTAGGACTATGTTACTTATGGCATAAAGTTTGCTATTAATGGCTGTCTTCACAGCTTGAGTAACCTAGCAACAACAATATCCTCGGTGATTTAGAGATCTTCTTACCCAGATGCCTTTATCATGTTTTCAGAGCCAGTGGAGACCTGGGAAGGAGGAGGGACAAGTGACAGAGGAAGCTGGCTTTGAAGTGTTGATTCTTCCTCTCTTCTCCCAAGCACTGGGATGATAAGCATTTTTCCCTCCTTTATTAAAGAGGGAAAAAAAACAACAAAAACCCTTTCTAGAAGCTTTTTAGCAGAAATCTTTTTTTTTTTGACTTTTGGTCATTTGCTATCTTTCAGCTATCCTCTACCCTTAATGTATTTTGTGATTTGATACCTTGGGCTGGGTGTATCAACACCCAAATTGGTAGTTTCCAAGGCAAGTGCCACTGTGCCTGGCTCTGTACATTGTATTTTAGTTGTGTGGGTGTTTTTGTTTTGCCTGCATTTACCGTGTGTACCATTGCCTGCATGTACCATTAGTGTTAACCCGTGTGCAATGCCATGTAGGTCAGAAGAGAGTGTCAGATCTTCTAGAACTGGAATCATAGATGGTTGTGAGCTGTCTTGTAGGTGCTGAGAACCGAATCCTGCTCCTCTAGAAGAGCAGACAGTGCTCTTAACCTCTGAGCAGTCTCTTCATTGGGCCCATTCTCCCTGTTTCCTTGAAACAAGGTCCAGGTTACCCTAAATTCACTGTGTAACAGAGACGACCTTCAACATGATCCTCCATGTTGGCCTTTGAAGAGCTAGAATTATATACCGTGCTCCTAAGAGCATGTGTATATACATGCATCCAGAGTTTGAACCATTTAGACATTCACTGAGTGGATATGGTTTCATTAACAAATGGTAGAAGAGAAATTCTGAAAGTGAGGTTGAACCTCAGTGCTGCTAGATATGCAGCAAGAAACCATTTACTCCAACTGATTTAAACAGCTTCTAGGATTCCTGGGTAGAGCTGGCTTGTGAGTCCTCAGCTGGGCTTGGAGCTGCACACCTGTAATCCCAGCACTTGGGGAAGCAGAGGCAGGCAGAGTGCTGTGAGTTCAAGGCCAGCCTGGTCTACAGATTGAGTGCCAGGACAGCCAGTGCTACAAAGTGAGACCCTATCTCAAAACAAACAAACAAACCAACCAACCAACCTGAGTCTTAACTCAGAACACAGACCAAAAATGGGGTTAGGGTTTGTGCAGTATCTAGAAGCCAGTGCAAGACAGCTCTGCTGATATTGCCAAGAGGTAAAGGGTGTAGTTTATTAAAAATGGCTTTTGGATCTTTGATGAGATGGGTCTTTGGGGCAGGGCACTTGGTGCTGAGCCTAGGGCCTCAGTTCAGTACATGTGGTTCTGCAGGTTGTTCTCTGAACTCTGCTTGTGTACTGTGGTGCTCCCACATCTATGCACACATGCAGAAAACTCAAATATGTAAAACAAAACCCTTGGTATCTTTTGGTTTTGAGACAGGGATTCTCTGTATAGCTCTGGCTGGCCTGGACCTCTGTAGACCAGGTTGGCCTCGAATTCAGAAATCTGCCTGCCTCTGCCTCCTAAGTGCTAGAATTAAAGGCGTGGCTATCTTTGCTTTTGAGAAATGATTTTACTCAGTAGCTTCCAGTTGACCTGGAACTTGCTCTGTGACCTGATTGGCCTTGAACTTCCTGGATTGCCCCAGCCTCCTGAGTCCTGTGACTCTAGAATAGTTACTCTACCTGGCCTTAGGGTGTTTTGCTGAAACTTAATTTCATTTTATTTCTCTTTACATTAAAGATTAACTGAGGTCCAAAATAGTGCTTAGAGTCAGATATTTGGGTTTCTAGTCAAGTGTACCACAAGCATAACCTTTTCTGCTGTAATTTGCAAAATTCTGTGAATGAAAGCAACAGTACTGTCAACTTTAACACAGGACACAGAATATAAACACTCGGTAGGTGATAGTTGTGTAAATATAGTGAAGAGGGGCATCTTTCAAGGTTGCCACCTCTAAGGGTAAGGAGAAGGGAGTCTGTTCCCTGCCATACACACAGGGCTATAGCCCTGGCCGGCCTGGCACTCCTCCTTGGAGCTCAACTCTGATCTGCCTGCCCCTCGCTCCTGAGGGCTTTTGTTAGTCTTGCACCATAGGCTGGCCTTGAACTGTGGTGTGACCCGATCCACAGTCTTGCTCTACCTCCCGAGTGCTGTAGGGGAGGTCAATACCACCATGCTCAGTTGAGAAGAAAGAAGGAGAATTGGTGGTGATGAACACTAAGCTCAGCACTCAGGCTGAGGTCAGTATGTGAAACTGGGGTCAACTTGAATTACATAGTGATACAGTGGGGTTGGGTCTAGAGAGATGGCTCAGCAGTTAAGAGCCCTGGCTGTTCTTCCAGAGGACCCATGTTTGATTTCCAGCACCCACCGGCAGCTCACAACTGTCTGTGACTCCAGTTCCAGGGGATCTAATGCCCCTTGTGGCCTCCAGGGGCACTGTTTCACATGCATACAAGCAAAACATTCGTGCACCTAAAATAAAATAATAATACTGTGAGGAAATATGTTGAGATCATTAGGAAACTTGTTTTAAAAAGCTCTAGAACTTCTAGAAAGTTTTAGTAGGAAGGGCTTGATCAGGATTCTTGGTACAAAGGTTTATAAAAGAACCCGGGTGGGGGTGGCACACACCTTTAATCCCATCACTCAGGAAGACGGAACACTGACACAGGCAGATCCCTGAACTCAAGGCCATTTTGGTCTACAGGTCGAGTTCCTTAATTGCCAGGGCTTCTACACAAAGAAGCCTCCTCAAACCACTGCCACCCCTAAAAATATATGTCCTAGCCTGGTGTTTTGGTTTACATCTTCTGTCTCAGCACCAGGAGCAGAGGCAGGGAGATCTTCAGGCCAACCTGGTCTACATAGTGAGTGCCAAGCCACCCAGGACTACATAATGAGACCTCATCTCAAAAGAATAAAAGTAACAAAGGCCTGTGTATTTTAGTCAACCTTCCCTTGAACTCTTGGAGCTTTTTGGCCCATGACTACGTATTATTAATAATAATTTATAAGACCCTGTGTAGTTTTCCAAGTTAGTTTTTGTTCAGCACTTAATTGTAACTAATGGGAAAGGAACTATGCTAAGAGGTAGATAGAAGGTGCAAAGAGAAAATACAAGTGATTCAACTAGAAGAGTGAAGACTCACTGGTCAAGGCTAAATTGCCCTTTTCTTTTTGCCCTCTAGCGTCCTCATAAAGCCAATGCTGAGGAGATGACAAAATACCACAGTGATGACTACATTAAATTCTTGCGTTCCATTCGCCCAGATAACATGTCTGAGTACAGCAAGCAAATGCAGAGATGTAAGTATGTTCTTTTTTCACCCCACTCTGAAGCTGGCTGTTGGATTTCTTTCTCCATGGGGAAACCCACACTTTAGCCACATTTAGTTCACAAATGATTTGTCTTGTGCTCCAAAGGTGCCAACATATTTTCTCATCTAATCTGTTTTTTTCTTGCCTTCTGATCCTAAATAAATAATAGGGTTACAGCACTGTCCATGGCTTACTATAATGGTGAAGGGAAAGGCTAAGAAGCAGGCAGGAGACACTGGTCTCTTAACTGACTGCACAAGGCACTTTCCCTAAGATCTCTGTTCTGTAAATTGGGATGAGCTGGGTGGCTTCTGATTCCTTAGTTGCTCTAACTTTGCATTTAGAATTTAGAGGCCACAAAGGACAGACTAGATGACGTAATCTTTAAGATGAGATGATGCTACGCCTGACTGCTGGGACCCGGCATCAGGCTGCATCCCACCCGAGAAGCCACCCTTTGTAGGAATTGTGATTGCTTTAGCTGTGACAAAGCATTGGTCAAATTTGGGACTACATTGTCATTCCTGAATTCTCTCTTTTGTGGTGGAAGTGTCTACTTTCTAAATTGAGAAGATCTTGCTGACTTCCTGGAGATCAGTTCATTTCTTTCCTGCAGTTGTTTTAGGGGTTTTCACGAAACATTGACAGTGAAGATCAGGAACAAGTTCAGTTGTCAACCAAGGGCTCTCATTAGAGAAGCCTCATTAGTGTTACAGCAAGAAAATGAGCTTTCTTTTCTTTTCTTTTTTTTTTTAAGCATATTTTTTTTTGTGTGTGTGTTTGTCTCTGTGTATGCACATATGGAAGCCAGAGGGACAAGGTGAAGTTAAATCTCTCTTTCTACCAGGTTGTGCTATCTGGGGATCAAAACCAGGCCATCAGGCTTGCTGCTGTCAAACACCTTTTATTTATTTATTTATTTTTATTTTTTATTTTTTTGTCTGTTTTGTTTTCAAGACAGGGATTCTCTGTGTATTCTTGGTTGTCCTGGACTCACTTTGTAGACCAGGCTGCCCTCAAACTCAGAGATCTGCCTGCCTCTGCCTCTGCCTCCCCAGTGCTGGGATTACAGGTGTGTGCCAGTGTGCCCAGCCATGCTGAATTTTCTGGATGGTCTTGAGATTTCATGTCTGGGTTTGAATGCGCGCCTGCTTAGTTGTGTGTGGTGTGTGGCTTTGCTGAACTGGAGTTTCAAGCTTGCTGGGTAAGTGCTGGACCACTGAGCTGCTCATCTCTCCTCTTGTGCTCCCTTTTTTTTTTTTAAGGAGGGGTACTTGTAGCAATGGCCTGTGCATGAAGCTCAAAGGACAACTTTGGGGAGTGGTTCTCTCCTGTTGTGGGTTCCAGGGGCTGAACTCAAGTCGTAGGTTTTTATTGCGGGTGCTTTTACCCTTCTTTCCTGTTCAACTTTGTCTTGACCAAGTTTTTGAGACCCTTTGAGAGTGACCTTCCCGCTCTACAAGAAAGGCAGTAGTGGCTATCTTATATTTGAGGCTAGTGCATTCAATGAACAGTTGCTTTTGAGCTTACGTGATATTTGTTATTACAGATCTGTCAAGGCAGACAAAATACAAGGCCTTCAAGAATGTTCAGGTTCTATGCCAGTATTCTAGTTTCTCAGAAATTAGCATTATAAAGTTGTGTTTAAACATTAGGTTTGGGGGATGGCTGGAGAGATGGCTCTGGTTAAGAGCACTGTCTGCTCTTCCAAAGGACCTGGGTTCAATTCCCAGCACTCAAATGGCACCTCACAGTTGTAACACCAATTCCAAGGGATCTGACACCCTCACACTAATGCACATAAAATTAAAAAATAAAAATAAAAAATAAATAATTAGGTTTGTAATTTTCTCATTGAAAATAAAGGTGGACCTGGGGCTGGAGAGATGGCTCAGTGGTCAGAGCAGTGGCTGCTTTTCCAAAGGACCAAGGTTTGATTCTCAGTACCTTCATGATAGCTCATAGCCATCTGTTCAGATGATGCCCTCTTCTGGACTCTCTGGGCATTGTACGTATGTGGTGTACGTTCATACATGGAGACAAAACATCCACAAACATAAAATCAAAATAAATCTTGAAAAAAAGAAAAGGTGGACAGGATGAGGGTCTCCCCTTAATGAATCCTTACATACTTAATTCATAGTTACAGGAATCAAAGTAGCAAAGATGTCACTTAATGAAGTGCTTTCCAAAATGTCTATCACAGCAGTCAGCAAAACCTTTTGAGTTCTTTATTAATGTTTAATAAGTAAGTATCTAACCTGGGGAGTTATGTCTGAGTTACACCAACTGAGTTTGTATACACATAAAAACTTTGGGACTTTGACGGCTTTGATTAAATGTTCTGCTAATATTTATTAAATCAAAATGGGAACCTAAATAAATGTGATTTCTGGAGCAGATAATCAGAACATGAAGCTCATGGTGAAAACATGATGAGGGGAATTGAGGTGGTAGAGCAGTCAGGTAGCATTCTTGTCTGACTGTAGGCTGATCCAAGAGATAGTCACATGGTGAGATGGAGAAGAAAACTCCAGGCTCCTGATTTGGAGTGTAATTGTCAGTGTCCATACATTTTATATCTGTGGTTCTGTTGCACACTCTTTAAAAGGCATTCATAAGGGGCTGGAGAGATAGCTCAGGTTAAAAGCTCTGTCTGCTCTTCCAAAGGACCCAGATTGAACTCCCAGCACCCACATGGCAGCTCACAACTGTCTGTAACTCCAGTTCCAGATGGCCCGACACTCTCATACCAACACAAATTTAAAAAAAAATAATAAATCATAAGTTGGGTGTGGTGCCTGTAATCCCAGTACTCAGGAAGGCAGAGGCAAGGGGATCTCAGAGTTCAAGGCCAGCTTGATCTACAAAGTGAGTCCAGGACAGCCAAGTCTATACAGAGAAACCCTGTCTTGAAAAACAAAAAGTATCCCTAGCCAGGCATTGTCATCCCAGCACTTGGGAGACTAAGGAAGAAAGCTGAGTCTTCAAGGTCATCTTTGGAGATAGAGTAAGACCTTGACTCAAAGCAAAGAATGCGTTTGTACTAAGTGACCATTAGCAGGGTCTTTCCTATCATTCCTTAAGCAGTCTAGCGTAACAGGCACATTGTGTTAGGTATAATAACCATTCAAGAGATGATTTCAAATATACAAGGATTCCGGGACTACACAGTGAGATTCCGTCTTACCAAATCAAAACGATAGGCAGTGGGTTTAGTGACCCATACCTGTAATCCCACAGCCGCGCCCAGGGGAGAGGACTGCCTTCTGTTGAAGATGCCCCTGGCAACACCATGAGTGAGTGGTCTACAGGGTGAGGCTTGTCTCAAAAGCAGCTATAAATAATGAGCACCCGTGTTTCCTCACAGCCCAAGACAGAAGACCTGAGAGTACAGTTGAAGACCGGGCACAGCTTGTTTCTTTACTCTGCCGTTCTCTTGCTGTCCCCTTCCCCATTCTGTGACCCTGTTGCTGAGGTATAACTTGTATCCTAAAGTTACTGTTTAATCCTATACAGGTTTCTACAGTGCTGCGGTATGTTGTTGTTGGGTGAGACAGGGTCTAATACTGTTTAGATCTGCTTGGTTCTTGCTTTTTAAGTAGGCTAGCCTCAAACTCAGAGACCCTCCTAAGTGATGCTATTACAGCCATGACTTCCCTCCTTGCTTTGTCTCCAAAGGTGCTGCTTTTTTCAAAAGACAGTCTCATGTAGTGAAGGATGGTCTTGAACTTACTATGTAGTTAAATTGAAATCTTCATTATTCTCCTTCCACCTCCCAGGTGCTGAGCTTACAGTGTGAGCTATTGTGCTGGGCACCACAACTCCTTGAACTGAAAATCAGTGGGCAGTGTGAGCTATATGTTGAATTGGGTCCTGAAGGTTCATCTTTTTCTCGTGTCTAAAACACCCATTTCCCTTCTTTTGGGATGTCATGTTCTGCAAGGGAGTGTAAACCAACTTTTGGAAATGAGATGCCAAGGCCTGAGGGAAACAGCCAGGTCAGGGAATTATTTGCTTCTGGATAAATAGCCTGACCCCAGGGACCAAAGTTCTTATTGACATAGTCTCTTCCAGTGTTTGCCAAGAAAGTGAGGAAAAGCCACTCACTGCCCGCTCCCTATGTAATCAATTGGCAAACTTTTCAAGTTACTGTAGCACTAGAGTTTCTAACTTAAAAGTGGGAATGCAAGCATGTTACAGTATATGGGTGGAGGAGTTTTCTTCCTCCACCTTCTGTGAGTTAGAGATTCAACTCCAGCCACCAGGCTTACACAGCAAGTACCTTTGCCTGCTGAGCCAGCTCATTGGCCCACAGTTGATAATTTTGGAGGTTATTGCAGATATAGCTGTGTTTTGAGATGTCACCACAATCCAGGATGTTCCTTCCCAGCCTCTTCCTCCATGCTCTCTTTGGGAACCCCTATTGATAAAAGACTGGGCAAGAGAATAAGGCTATAGCCCTCACTCCTGCCTATGACCTCAGCAGTTTCCTTTTTTTGTGTGTGTGAGAGGAGATAGCCTGGGGTTCCTCTGCCACACCACCCTCCAGGTGTGTTTCCTGTCTGTTTTGTTTCATTTGCATTAGTGTTTGCATGTGTTTCTGCATCATGGCCTACTTTGTACTTTTACCTTATGGGCTTTAAATAACTCAGGTTGTCCCTGGGGTGTAGTAGAAAGCACTGGACTGTGGTGGGCACCACATGGAGGGCCTAGTCCGGTTCCAGTTCTGCCTGGTTACGTAGCCTTCAGCAAGACACTGTCTTCTTTGCATGTCTTCATTCTGCTGTACAGTGGTCCTGTCTTGTCCAGCTCTTGGAGTTGTGAGAATCAAGTGAGTGTATATGTGAAAGCACTTTGGAAGAGACCAGGACACATTTTCTCAGGTCTTTAGGACAGGAAGCAAATTGTGAGGCTTGAATGTAACCTCTGGTATTTATTTAGCAGCTTACCTCTCTGAGCCCATTTCCCTATTTATAGGATTGGACCAAAGTCTACCCCAGAAGATGTGTGTGAGGACAGATGTATCAGGTAGTTAAAATTCTCAGCAGCATATGGGATGAATGCTTTTGGCACTCAGCAAATAATTATGTAGGTCTCTGTTTACTTCATCTTCCTGAGTCTATTTCTTCATTTATAAGATCGGAATGAATTCCACCTCAGAAGAATGTGAGGATAAATGCATCGGGTATCTAAAATGGTTAGAAGTGATGGCATCCTGTGAACACTCACCAAATGAGAGTAGCATAGGTTTTTTTTTTTACCAGCATTTTCCAGGTTCCTAGATGCTTTCCCTATAAGATTTCTAGTGCTGTGTGTGTAATAGTCCTAGCTGAGGCAGCAGGATAGCTTAAGCCAGGAGTTGAAGACCAGCTTGAGGAACACAGTGATGGTCTCAAATGGTGGGGGAGGGTCTCTTAATTTTCTCACTGACTGGTTGAAGTAAATTCCATTATTGCTTATTATAGTTAATAGCGTAAATCTCCAAGAAGTTAACCCTGAGTAGACCCCAAGCCTTCTGAATCTAAATTGTTTTGCTTTTCTTTTCATCAGCTTATAAATATCTGAATTTAAAAAAACAAAACAAAACTGAAGGAAATTGTGGAAACTAACCTTTTGCTTCTCTCTCTCAAGTCAACGTTGGTGAGGACTGTCCAGTATTTGATGGCCTGTTTGAGTTCTGTCAGTTGTCTACTGGTGGCTCTGTAGGTAAGGAAACAAAATCTACTCCTTGGGGCTGTGCTGGACTGTTGTAGTGAGATCTGCCTTTTGGATGGGGCCCTGGTATTGCTGACCTATGACCGCTAAGAATGATACTGTGGGTTGTTACCTCAGATCTTTGATAGAGTGCTGAAAGGTGTTCTTAACTCTCTTCTCCTGCCCAGAGAGCTTATCTCCAGGATCCTGGCAGGCTTTAAGGGGTTGTTAAGACACTCTATGTAAAAGCAGTTTTCGAGTCGCAAAGTTCTATAAACATCTCTGTCTTACGAAAAAGGAAGGCCATTAACTTCCGATGTCACAAGTATTCTTCACAGGTCGTTTCCACTATAATTTCTGAGTTGCCTTAATATTACCCTAAACACTAGCAAATGTAGCCATGCATGGCTTAAGGATGGGAACACATTTTGAGAAATGTGTTGTTAAACAGTTTTGTTGTGTATTATAGTGTAGACAGATGTAGATGGTAGAGCCTCCTGCATATCTAGTCCATATATTTTACATATAGTATAGTGTATTGTTTCTCAGGACCTTGATGAATAGAATGTAATTAAATCAAATACCAGAAAAAAATACAAGGGCAAGAGCGATGGCCCAGCCTTACTGTAGTTGCTCAGGGTTTTGGTTCCCAGCCCCCATATGGCATCTAACAACTAAAACTTCTGTTCCAAGGCATCCAGTGCCCTCTTCTGACTTGGTGCACTTAACATCCATGCAGGCAAAATACTCATAAAACAGTAAACACAATATGCCAATGTACACGACATTTCTGCTTTAGTGCTTTTTGGGGTTTGTTTTTGTTTTAAGACACGGTCACTCTGTAGCCCTGGAACTCAAGTAGACCAGGCTGGCTTCAAACTCAAGAGATCCGCCCGCCTCTGCTTCCCTAGTATTGGGATTAAGTCTGTATGCTACCACATGTGGCATACAGTGAATTTTTTTGGTTGATCTTTTTTTTCTTTTTTCTTTTTTTTTTTTCCTAGACAGGATTTTTCTGTGTAGCCCTGTCTGTTTTGGCAGTTTCTCTTTAGACCAGGTTGACCTGTAACTCAGAGATCTGCACTTCCCAAGTGCTAGGATTAAAGCCATGTGCCACCATACCCAGCAGCAAGTTATTTTAAATTTTTATTTATTTTTTGATAAAGGACCTTTATGTAATTCTGATTGTTCTAAAACTTGCTATGTAGACCAGGCTGTTTTTGAACTCGCAGAGATCCTCCTGCCTCTACTTTGATTGCTACAATTAAAGGTGTTCACTTCAATGCCCGGCTTAGTGATTTTTTTTTTTTTTTTAAATAAGTGTACTCTGTAAAATAATAATGTATAAGCCAGGTGTGGTGACACATGCCTGATTCCATTACTAGTCTGAGGTAGGAAGGTTCAAGCCAGCATGTTCCTCTGATCTGTAAGTATGTGCCATAGGTATTTGTTAACATTGCCAGGTAATTAGTTACATACCATATGTGCCTGGCAGCACAGCAGATTCATTTACTCACCATTTCCACAGGAATGTGAGCTATGGCTTGACTTATACTGCTGCAGCAGCTGGGCCTGATGGCAGCACACCCTGCCACCCTCAAGGCTAAGGCGGGATTGCCACTAGTTTCAGGCTGGACTCGCCTGTCCTATGAAGCTGCCTCAGCGAAGAACGATAAGTTTACAGAAACACTATTAGATGTGTTTTTTCGTTTTTAAAACCTTGTACAGTGCTTAACCGTATTCACTTTTCTATGATTATTGTAGTTCTTCCTTTCCTCCCCCATGTAACTTTGAAAACACAGGAAAACCCAAGCCCATCTAGATTCACTCTGTAGATGACTGCTCTTTTCATTTCAGTGTTTGTGTATTCATGTCTTTATTTTTGTCTGAACACACACAATTTTTATTTTATTTTATTTTATTTTATCCCGAGACAGGGTTTCTCTGTATAGCCCTGACTATCCTGGAACTCACAGAGATCTGCCTGCCTTTAAAGTATGTTATGCTGTTATATTACATAGTTTTATGCCATTTTTAGTTTTTTGTTTGTTTAGTATTTGTGTGTTCATCTATATGTCTGTTTGTATATGTTCATGTGCCTATGGCTTAATGTGCTGCAGGCCTAAGAATAAAGCCCCTTCAGTGTCATCCATAACCACTCTGTAAAACTCCTCTTTGACATTTTGTGTCTGTATATGTGTGCAGTGATCTGCATCTAGCAGTCAGAGGACAACTTACAGAAGGCACCCATCATGTAGGATCCAGGGAATTGAACTCGGTAGTCAGGCTTGGTGGCAAGGCCTGTTTCAGCCATCTTGCCAGCCTATAAGTGTTTTAACTGAGTTATTCCACCAGCCTTCTTTTTAAATCTCATTCTGTAGCTCAGGCTGGCCTCCTGCTCTAGTCATGTGTCACCACACGAAGCTTTAAACTGCTTGTGTGTAGTGTCAGACAGTATGTGTCTGGTGATTGTATGTTATGCGCACTGCATGAGCGTGCTCCCTGTTGTTAGAGCATGCATCTTTCCTGCTTTGGGTGCTGCTGAAGTCAGCAGTGCTGCCACGATGCATAGGGTGCGTTCTTTCATCTTCTTGGAACTCTGTACTTGGAATCAGTCTGTCCTTCGTATTTTTGAGATTATTATTATTATTATTTTTTTTTTTTTTTACTGTGAACCACAATAATTAATACTTTCACAAATGCATTCAAAGATAACCCAGGTATGTATGCAACCCACACAAGTATGCACGTTTACACATTCACTGTGACACCAAAGTTGCTTATAAAGGAACAGTTAACCTGTACTGTTACTTATTTATTTTACTCTATATAGACTCTATGTGACCCACTAAATCAGTTTCAGGACATAAAGGGTTATCATCCTTGATTTGGAAACGTTAGTGGTCAGGCTGAGGTATATTCCCTATTGAAATGAGAAGTGGGTGCGTAGTGAATTTTATAATCTACACTGTATAATAAACTGTCTTTCACTGGGTTGTGGATGGAAGGGGAAAGGTTTATTGACAGGCTTGTGTCCTCTTTCCGTGCCCAGCAAGTGCTGTGAAACTTAATAAGCAGCAGACGGATATCGCTGTGAACTGGGCTGGAGGCCTGCATCATGCGAAGAAGTCTGAAGCATCTGGCTTCTGTTACGTCAATGACATCGTCTTGGCCATCCTGGAACTGCTAAAGTATGCCTGCCTGGCCTTATGTCTTGGAGGAGCACCTTAGGCCAGGTTCCCACTTCCCTGTCCCCTGGGCTTGCTTCCCTAGTTTCCTTTTCTTATGGTGTGCTGGCTAGGATGTGTTCCATGAGTGTCTCTGGCCATCCTCTCCTTGACGGGGTCTTGATTTGATCTGAGCCCACGGCAAGATCTGGGGCAGGCGCTGCTCAGGTCCTGCTCCAGAGTGTCCTTGTGTGACTGGAGTTGACCCTGGCTGTAGAGTAGGAAGATCGGACATGGTCGGCTTGGTCAGGCCTCTGGAGACACCCGGCCGCTCTTCCACCTTCCTTCAGCCAGTTTCCACGTCTCTGGTGCTTAGAGATACCTGAGGGAGGCAGCTAGCCCGGTAAGCTGGGACCTGGCGCCCTTGGCGCGTCCCATCCCCAAAGAGCCCCCAGGCCCCTGACCACCTTCTAATCCTAGGTATCACCAGAGGGTGCTGTATATTGACATTGATATTCACCATGGCGATGGCGTGGAAGAGGCCTTCTATACCACAGACCGGGTCATGACTGTGTCTTTTCATAAATACGGAGAGTACTTCCCAGGAACTGGGGACCTACGGGTGAGAACTCCCTTTAGGGACTAACCAACTCACCTTCAGCTCTAACTCTCCTATCTTATGCCACCAAAAACTACGCCTCTTCTGCCATTCAGAATACCACACTATTGTCGGGTCACCTTTACGGCCTCTTCCATTCTTTATTCTGGAAGAGGGATATTGGGACACAAGGGGTCAGAAGAATTCGGGGTTTTCTGGTTCATTGTCCCTGCCTTCTGATCACCGCTGGCCCACTTCATCCCTTAAGGTGGAATTTGGAGTGAAGGATGACTCTTGGGAGTCATTTCAAAGGTTCTTTATTTTTAGGTCACCTTCCCCGTTAGCAGTATGACTGAAAGCAATGAACTCTCCCCACAACACTACATGAAAGCCTGAGTCTCACATAGAACAATTAATAGGTGTGTGCCCCTCCTAAGGCTGCTCCATCTGTTAGCATGAATACAGTGAGATCTGTTTGCCCTGCCATTCACCCTTAGGTGAAAAAATGGTACTAATTAAGTTGTTTGATATAATGAACATTCAGATAAGCAGCTTTTATTACTTTGAAGTTAATTGGAAAAACTTTCTTCTCTGACTGTTGCCCTCTACAGCGTCCTAGAAAGGACAGAATAAACGTAGAGGAGTAGATGTGGTGGACTGTGGTGGAGTACAGTCTCTTTGGCAGTTGTGTGTTGCTTCTGTGACCGCCTGCTTGCTGGCTCTTAACTAGAGGCAGGAACCTTGCTCTGTGGGGCTGGCTGTGAAGTCTCTGCCCAGTCTTGTTCAGGAATATTGGGAGGTGTGAATTGTCCCTGTTCTGGCCTTGCTAATCTCACGGGCTCAGCTTGTCCCTCATAGAACCACTGTCTCTCTCCTTAGTCTTCCAATCCCATCTTTGAATCCCCTTCTATTTTTGTCTTTCAATTTTAATATCCTTTTTGGTTAGGATATTGGGGCTGGCAAAGGAAAGTACTATGCTGTTAACTACCCGCTGCGAGATGGGATCGATGATGAGTCCTATGAAGCCATCTTCAAGCCAGTGAGTGCCTTGGTCCACCCCTTGGGCTGCTGTTGGGATTGACTTGGGGAATTTAGCAAAACACCTGCCATAGCCCAGTGGCTGTTCCTCACAGTGGCTTGCTGGAAAGGAGGAATATTTCCAACTTTGTTGTATGGCAGTGGGAAACAAAGCATCTATGTAATTTCTTGCTGCCTTCTGTGAGTCTGGCCGTTTGCTCAGTACAAGAACATGTGAGGCACAGTCTTTGTGGGAGGTAAACTATTTACCCAACAGTCTGTGGACAGTTGTGACAAAACTTTTCCTAGAGAGCTATAACATACATGTGTATCCACCCCAGATAGGGAACCAACCCACAACAGAGCCAAGTACAGACAGCACCAGAGTCCAGCTTGGGGAACCAGTGAGTTTTATAGAAGTTACTTACCGGAATAAAATGTCTCAAAGATAGTAGCTGCATCACCAAAGCCCATCCAGACAGCTCACAGAATGCAACAGCTCACAAAAGCTGGAAACCTGAAGCACACTGCGTTGAGGCAGCAACAGGTTGGAGTGTCCTATCTAGTGTGTGAGTCAGTCTAAACCTTTTCCAGGCAGCTCAGTTGTTCACTGTTTCTTCAAATGCAGCCTTTTTTTTTTTTTACAAGAATTATTTAATATTTATGCAGCATTCTGTCTGCATGTGTGCCTGTGCACCAGAAGAGGGCACCAGATCTCATTATAAATGGTTGTGAGCCACCATGTGGTTGCTGGGAACTGAGCTCAGGACCTTTGGAAGTACAGCCAGTGCTGTACTCTTAACCTCTGAGCCATTGCTGTAGCCCTGAGAATATTTTTTTATAGCTTTTACTACTTACTCTGGAAGAGAGCAGGCCTAGTGAGTCTGTTGAATTTCAGGGACTTCCTGAAGCTATTTTGAGTACCTTCCTGCTTAAGGAGCTTCCCTGTAGGATTTCTGTAGGAATCAGAAACTGTTACATAACACTAATGTGGACTTGTTGTTATTTTTGTTCATTTAAGCAGGAGTTTACTTGGCAAAGCAGGGAATGTTCCAAAGAAAAATGAGAGCAGGCTGATCTAATTGGGTAGCCGTCCTCAGTGTTTTCTCTCTCTACATCTTTGGAGTCAGCCACTAGTATATTATTTGTTCATTATGTTCTGTCTTCCGATTTTTTTGTTTCTTGCTACCTTTTACTAATGTCTACACATTTAATGAATTGGGGTTTATTCTAGTCTTTGCAGACTGGCTTTGCCTGGAAAAGCCCCCAGCTATTTAGCCTGTCTAGAGACTCTGGAAAGACCATGTGATATGTTCTACAGGCTGGCTGGCTTTTGGAGTCCTCAGCAGGCTGATTGGAACCTGTACTTTTACAGGGGTGAACAGAGGACTGAGAGACGCCTGCTGCCCGAGTTAGGAAGGTGGTAGTAAGAGATTGCAAAGGCTCTCACCAAGGCAATGCTGGCCTCAGACATCCATCCATTTACCTGCCTCTGCCTCCTGAGTGCTGAGGCTACACTGCCGCCATGCCAGTCCTTGAGCTAGATTGTTCTTTTTTTAAATGTGGAGGTACCTATGTGAAGGAAGGAAGCTAAGACTGAAGGGATGGCTGCGCCTTTAATCCCAGCACTCAGGGAGGCAGAGGCAGGTGGACTGCTGTGAGTTTGCGCTGAACCTGGTGTATAAAGCTGGTCCAGAACAGCCAAGGCTGCACAGAGAAAACCTGTCTCAAAATCCCGTACCCAAACAACAGCAACAAAAGTCTGAAGGGATGGCATTGGACAAAAGGAATATCTGTAGCATAGAAGCAGTTAGGAGTCTGGAGTGATATATGCTGTTTTAATGTGTGGGAAGAGAATAGGAAAAAGCTGCTAGGAAGCGGATGTTAGAGTTCATGTGCTTTAAAATCATTGATGCATACATATTAGGATCTGTATTTCAAAGGGACCTCAGATGCCATGCTGAAGAATTTAATTTTTTGAAGTAATTGATGTAAGTCTTGTGGTTGGTTACTCAGACAAGTGCCTACTATGTGCTTAGCAGTAAAGATGACAGAAACTTGAGTTACAGGCTCCTGAGTAACAGTATATGCTTAGGTGTAGGAATAAAATATACGAAAATAAAGTGACTCCATGTAAGGTTTAAATCTATAGGGACACATGAGTAGAGCAGATGCAGCTAGAGGTTGGGAAGCTTCCGGAAGGAAGCAACTTGGGAGCCTGGCAGTTCAAAAAGGAAAAGAGGAGGGAGTTGAGAAGGAGGCCATTCAAAGTGCAGTTGTTCGACCTGTTAATTATCTTTACAGGTGCATTCAAATTGGAAAACTCTTGCTTACCGCACAGTATCAGAAATGAAAAGGAAGAATATGTGCCAGTCCTTTCTACCTCTGACCCTCACATGCTTTATCTTGTATTATATGTTAACCGAGGTGTGTCTTTCTAGGTCATGTCCAAAGTGATGGAGATGTTCCAGCCTAGTGCAGTGGTCTTACAGTGTGGCTCAGACTCCCTGTCTGGGGATAGGTTAGGCTGCTTCAATCTCACCATCAAAGGTGAGCCCAGGGAACACACACATGGGTAGGCGGGGTCTGCTGGTTCCCCTGTAAACCAACATCCCTTTTCCTTCCAAAGGGCACGCCAAGTGTGTGGAGTTCGTCAAGAGTTTCAACTTGCCTATGCTAATGCTGGGAGGAGGTGGCTATACCATCCGTAATGTGGCTCGGTGCTGGACTTATGAAACAGCTGTGGCCCTGGACACAGAGATCCCTAATGGTATTAGCTCCGGGCCAGGTTGGGCCTTGTGGGAGCTGGACTTCAAGTGCATTCCTTTACAACTTCTTTTCCACTTGGTCATAAGGTCTTTCATCACTGAGGCTCCTGCCTGTTTTCTGACAGGCAGACTGTAACCATCATTTTCCCCGAGTCTTGTCTTCTCTACCTGTGGACGTTATCAGTTATTGAGATGTTTGGGATTTCCACTGCCTAGTCTAGTGAGTACATGAGTGCTTAGTTGTACACCACAGGCTTGATGACACTGATGTTGATTCTAGAGAATGGTGTTACAAAGATTAAAATCCTGGCAGGGTACAGTGGCACATGCCTGTGATACCAGCACTCAGGGAGGCAAAGGCAGGTGGATCTCTGTGAGTTTGAGGCCAGCCTAGTCTACAAAGCAAGTCTAGGACAACCAAGGCTACACAAAGAAACTCTGTCTGGAAACAAACAATTAAAATTCTGATCAGGCACAGTGGGTCCTAAGTGTAAGTTAAACCCTTAAGAAGGAAGCTCAGGCCTGCCTGGCCACAGAGACCCTGTCTCAAAAAGCAGAAAAGATAAAAAACACTTAGAAGGTGTCCAGGTCTTACTGTATCTTAGAGGCATTCTTCTCTAAAAGATGGGTAAACAGATCTAGAGAAAGCTCTGTGCTTTTCTCTGGGCCCTACATTGGCTATGTCTTGACTGTCCTCTCCCATACCCCCTCAGAGCTACCATACAATGACTACTTTGAATACTTTGGACCGGATTTCAAGCTTCACATCAGCCCTTCCAATATGACTAACCAGAACACTAATGAGTACCTGGAAAAGATCAAGTGAGTGTGTGGTCAGGTTACCTCTGGATTTAACAGGCCAGGCTCTAGTTTCTCTCTAACCACAGCCCATCCATCCTCTCCTGTTACCCATAGGCAGCGACTTTTTGAGAACTTGAGAATGCTGCCCCATGCACCTGGGGTCCAGATGCAGGCCATACCTGAAGATGCCATCCCAGAGGAGAGTGGTGATGAAGATGAAGAAGACCCTGACAAACGCATCTCCAGTAAGACCTAGTCCAGGGGCCTGTGCCCTTTCAGTAGACAGCTCTAGACTCCCATCTCCAAGCTGCCCAGCTGTTAAGAAATCTTAGCATTGAGTCCCCTTGCCCCCACCTGTCTTGGTATCTTTCCCTGGTGTGTTGGATGGGAGGTGCTGGGGATGGAACCCAGGGCCTTCTCATATGCAGGCAGGCACTCTACCATCAGTCCCCTGGCATGTCTTGAAGGATACTCAGGGAGGTATTGGGCATAGACCCTGAAATGGCCCCTTGTGCTCACACCAATGTTTCTTTATCTCCTGCCTCCCAGTCTGCTCCTCTGACAAACGAATTGCCTGTGAGGAAGAATTCTCTGATTCAGATGAGGAGGGTGAAGGTGGTCGCAAGAACTCATCTAACTTCAAAAAAGCCAAAAGAGTGAAAACAGAAGATGAAAAAGAGAAAGATCCAGAAGAAAAAAAAGGTAGGTTTGGATTGGACCAGGACTTGGGTCTGTATAGGGCACAGGAAGGAGCTGACCTAGGCCCAGCCAACTCCTTTAGATCTTTAACTGTTTTTGAGCCTTTCAGTGGCTCCTAGAAATAGCAAGACCCACAAAACAATGAAACTTGGTCTCTGCTGGCTGATTGAGTCTGGCTCTCACATACCACTCAAGCCCTTTTCCCAGCACTTTGCCCTGTTTCCCAGGGGGCTGCCTCTGCCTGTGTTCTGGTTGAAACAAGCTGGGAAACCGGTCTAACCCGTTTGTTTTCAGCCAAGCTCACCAAAGGACCTGGGATACGCTTTTTCTCATTTTCCTATAACCAGTGAACTGTAGTATTGAAGAACGGGTTTCAGGATAGAAGAGTCCCCCTGTCTTTTCGGGTGAGGCCTTCAACCATACCTGTGCTCTTATGTTCTAGAAGTCACAGAAGAGGAGAAAATCAAGGAGGAGAAGCCAGAAGTCAAAGGGTGAGGAAATTGGAGCATCCCCCTTTGCATCCTACCACTGGAGGGACGGGAAGGAGCAGAGACAGCTGGTCCAGCTTACGAAGGCTCTTTCAGGGTCCAGTCTGTATGTCTCTGCCCCCGGCAGTCACCTGGGCAGCCTGGGTCCTGTGGAAGTCATTGTAGCCCATACTTGTGCTTCAGGCCTCTAGGGTCAGTTTTCTCATGTGATTCTGTTCTCTCCACAGGGTCAAAGAAGAGGTCAAGTTGGCCTGAGCAAGATCTACAGCTCTGACTTCTCCCCAGATTCCTCACTTTCCCCCAGATTTTATATTTTCTATTCTTCTGTGTATTTATATAAAATATATTAAATATAATGTCCCCAGGGACTAGATAGGAACCAGGGACCAGAGCCCAGGGCAGTGGTGCTGAGAGACTCTTACCTTGTCCCTCTGCCCCAGGTTTTAGTAGTGAACCATGTAGGGTCTGAGGGGTGGGGGATAGAAAACAACCAGAAGACATAATCCTGAACTGCCAAGTGCCTGCTTAGGAGCTGTTAAGATGCCCTTATTAAGCTTTCTAGAGGGGGTGACTGGGTCTTCTGGGACCCTTTATTCAGGCTTAGGTAATATCAGCCATTTTTAGATTGGTTCTGTTTATACCTTCCCACTCGTCTCAGGCAAGCAGAAAAACTTACCATTGCCCTGTCTTCCCCCCAATTCTGCAGGTGGAGGTTGTTAGCCTAGCTTCCTTTTTGAGATATTTTCATTTTGTGAGACTCTTTGTAATAAAACAGCACATTTCTATACCCTCCTGTACTTGTTTCCTAGTGGTGTCCCTGGTTGGTTGGTTTTAACTCCTGTCTCTTCTGGGTCATCACTTCCAGAAAACCCACTGGACTCACGTGCCTTCTTGCTGTTCCTAGTTCATGCAGGGCTTCCCACCCCATACCCCAGAAGACCACTCAGTAAAGCACCACTAAAGGGACAACATTTATTCCTTTTCCAAATGTTACAGTAAATCCAGATGGCAGAGAATGGTTTTATAGCAGTTAGAAAAAAAAAAAAAAAGTACAAATCCAGGGTTTGGCCATTAAAAGTTATTTACAACGATGGGAGGGGGAGAGAAAAAAAAAAAAAGACAACAAGAAGTTGCTTCACATTACAGACCTCCTTCCCGCCCAAAGCCTAATACTTGTTTATCAAGTCAGAGAGACATGGTTGAATCACAAGCTGGAGGTTTGAACTTGAGTAAGACATTTATAAAAACCCAGACGGGGGCAATGTCCTCCCCAGCCCAGGTGCCACTAGGCACAGCACAAGAGACTGAAAACTCAACAAGGGAAAGGCTGGACACTCAGGGTTTGGGAGTATAAGCCCCCACTCTTGGCCCAGGGGGTTGGGAAGTAGGATAAACAAAATGTACTTGGAAAAGAATTGGAAAGCCAACAATTGCCTTCTGCAGGGGTGGGGCCCAGGAAGGAGGTAGGGACAGGAACATTTCACATCACTAACCTAAGGGACCATCTTCAACTGGCCTTAAGAGTAAGACCAAATGGCTGATGGGAGAATCCACAGGAGGGAGGAAGGGAACGTGGCTGGGAGGGGGCAACAAGCCCCTTCCTTTCTGGGCATAGGAAGGCAGCCAGGGCACCAGGTCCAGGCAGTGACCTCAGAAGGGCAGCACAGTTTTTGCAGCTTAGAGATCACCCACCTGCCCCCACCCAGCTACTCATTCTGCTCAGCACTGGCAGATGCAGGGCCACTCTCGGGCCCCGAGGGAGTGGACGGCTCTGCAGCCTGGGGCCCTGCCTCCTCTTCCGTGTCTCCTCCCTTAGAGGCAGCACTAGCCTCTGCCCCCTTGGCCTGGGGCTCTTGGCTTTCGGGGGTGGCAGCAGCCTTCCCTTCTTGGGCAGTGCCCTCGTCGCTGCAGGCGCCGATTTCCCCCTGCTCCTGCTCTTCCTCTGTGGGTGAGGAGGCCGAGGAATCACCCCCACCCTCCTTCCGATTTCTCTTGAAGGACAGGCCGCTCAATTTGAAAGGCTTCTTGAAAGAGAATTTCTTCTTCTTCTTGGGGGTCTCCTTGGGGGCAACCTCCCCCTTGGCCTCAGCTTCCTGGCTAGGGGGCGCTGGCTCGATGGCATCACCAGTAGCCCCAGCTGCCTCCTCTGTTCCGTTCACGGGTGGTGACTCCCCTTCACCCTTGGGGGTTAAGTCTCCATTGCTTTTCACGTGGCCATTCTCCTGCGGGGCAGAGGACACAGCAGTCAGGGCCGGGGCCCTTCTCCCCCTCCCCCAGCCTGCTTCTGGCCCCTCGCAGGCTATAGAACTCCACTGCCGGGGTCTGCAATCAAACAAATCTGGCTTTGGCCTCGCTCCCATCCAACATAGCCCTCGCCCCTCACGGGCGCGCGGGGACGGGCGCAGCCGGCAGGAGGCGCTGGGGTACGGGCCCCCACCCCCCTCCCCCGGGGCGCGCTCTCTATTTTCCGCGCGGAACCTCACCGGGCCCTGGGCTGGCGGGCAAGCCTCGCCCGGCGCTCCTGGGCGGGAAGCAGCCCCGGGACGCTGCCTCCCTGCACCTGGACGGCCTATTTTCCCAGGCTGGCGCTTTGTGCGATCGGCCCCACACACACCCCAGGGTCTCCCCCCCCGCCCCCATCTCTGCTCCCTGCCGCTTCCAAAACCACCGCGGGCCGCCGAGGTCGGGGCTGGATTCTAGGGTCCCTGGGCGCCGAGCACAGGTCCCGCGCGGCCCCAGACGGCCCCTTGGCGCGGCCTAGCAGCGCCTTTGTTCCCGCGCGGCCTTCGGGGCGGCCTGGGGGCAGCGCCCGCGGTCCAGGCGCGAACAAAGAAGGCGACGAGCCCGGCCGGCGCCCCCTCCTGCCCCTCCCCTCGTTCGCCCGCGGGGGCTGCGGCGCCGAGAACAAAGGGACCGGGCGGGGGAGGGGGCGCCGCGTGTCCCGGGCCGGACAAAGCGCGCGGCCCCGGCCCTGGGCCCCAGAGGGGGCGAGGCGCGCGGGCAGGGGGCCGAGGCCCGCCGCGCCGAGCGCACCCACCTGTCCGTTGGCCTTTGCGGGGGAAGCGCCCGCTGCCTCCTCGGCGGTCACGTCGCCCCGGGGAGCCTTGGAGCTCTGGCTGCCCATGGTGGGGGTCTGCTGGGGGCGCCCGGAGCCGCCCCGCGCTGGCGCCGCAGGGATAGTTCGGCTGGGACGGCCCGGCGGGCAGAGGGGTGGGGCTGCGTCGAGGGGGAGGGGTACGGGGGCCAAGCGCGCTGCACCCCCGCTCCGCGGCCGACCCGCTAGCTGCGCCCGCCGCCGCCGCGCTCCGCGCCAGAATGCCGCCCGCCGCCCGCCGAGCTGCCTATATGTACGCGCCCGGAGCTCGGGGCGGGGCCGGACATTTAAATGAGCACCCAATCCGGGGCGGAGGCGGGGTCGGGCCCGGGCCCCTCTCGTGCAGTGGGCAAGCGAGCCCTCTGGTTCCCCCATCACATGGTACTGCCAGGGGCAGGTGGGGTTCAGTGTGGGAAGGAGAGGTCCCTGGTCCCGCCGGGAGATGGACTAGGAGGAGGCCGTCGATGAAGAAGCATCCCCTGCCCTCAGCGCCCCACTTTCAGCTTGACTCCTGTTCCACAGTGGCGAGGCCCGCTTTCCCTGGTTCCACACTGGCTTCTTGAACTCTTGGAAGGGCTCACAGGTCCAGACTCGTCAGACCTCGGGTGCTGAGTTATGCTCTAGAAATTTGTCCCAAACTCCCGCAGCCACCCTGCGAGGCTGAGCTTAGGCTGGGGCACTCAGATCATAACAGTGAGATCCAATAGTCCGTCTTCTCGGCCTGTTGATGGCCAGTTCCTAATCCTCACAGTGTGAATCTATTACCAAGTCCATGGCAGGGGGAAGGATGGGCTTGGTGTGTGTGTGTGTGTGTGTGTGTGTGTGTGTGTGTGTGTGTGTGTGTGTGTGTGTCCTTGACCAGAAGTCATTGCATCTTCATCCTCCTTTGTAAGCAAAAGAGCCTGGGGCTCAGAGGGGCCCCTTTAGGCCTGATTTCCCCTCCTCTTAGGTCTCTGCCCACAGGCTGAGGCTTCCCCAGTGAGACTCAACAGACTTCAAACACCAGTCCCTGAAAGTGAAGAAAGACATTTGGATTTCCTCCACAACTGTGGCACACCATTAGTGATAAAACCCCCAAACCTACCCCGTTTGAAGACCTTGGTGGGTTTCCATTTCCTCCTTAGGGCCAGGTAGACTGGTGAGAACCCCTGAGTCTCTGGGTGGGCCCACGTAGGCGTTTGGGCTTGTACAACTGCTTCTTCTTGTGTCCCCTCCCCCCAGTAGAAAAGGGATGGGGACCGGGGGAAGCCAAGTGTTTGTAAAGAAAGGCTGTGTCCTGGACAGCTCAATATGTCCCTCCCTCCTGGGGGAGGCCAGAATCTGTGAGGTGTGGGGAATCCCCAGGGCCTGAGAAATCAGGGAACTCCCCACAGATCTGACCTTAGAGTGATGATGTCAGTTCTACATTCGGTTTACTCTCCTGTCCGTTATTCCCTCCCTGACTCTTACACTTCTGGACTAGCCTCTCATTTTATCCCCGGTGCAGGACACTCCCAAAAGCATGCATCAGCTACCAGCAGCAGCAGCAGCTAAGGGTGAAAACCCCCTGAAGAAATTTCCTGTTGAGAAGCGGGGCTGTCCGATGAGGGTGAGAGGCAAGAAGAATTATTTAGGCACAGAGAAGGGCGCTGTGTCCCCACCGCAGGCCACTCGAAGTACAGTGGCTCTATCTGACCTGCTCTCTGTCACGGCTACAATAGGAGACCCACAATGCTGCCAGGCGCTGCCTGTCCTGGCTAGCAGGATTCAGTGTGTGTGTGTGTGTGTGTGTGTGTGTGTGTGTGTGTGTGTGTGTCCTGGAGGGGTTGAGGTCTTAGGAGTAGATCTCAAGGCTTCTGTTCTCCAGGCACTGCCTGGTGGTGGGGATAGAGACAAGTGTCTGAGAAGATCCCAGGAGAGAAGAACATGAGGCCTAAAAGACCCCAACTGCCTAGACCCCCCCCCCCAAAAAAAAGCTTCCTTCACAGGGGAGGCTCTGCATCTTCTCCAAACATTCCAGAAGGCTGAGGAGGGGGCGCCTGGCCTTCAGCAAATTCAGGTCCCAGCAGAATCTGATTTCTGGGAAAGGAAAGATGATGGGGCCGCAGAGGCCGCATACAACAGCCCCCATGGCCTCCTGTCCACACTGTGGCTCCTTTCTCCCCAGCTGCTGCCAACCCGGACAATGCTCCCATTGTTCCGGGACTTCCAGAGCCTGTGTGCAACTGTGTCTGTTTGCTGTGTGTGACTTCGTATGGCTTTGTGATTGTGTGCGTGTGACTTTGTGATTGTGTGTGTGTGTGAGAGAGAGAGAGACACTAGGTGGGCACATTTGTCATTGTACAAACAAATGATGAGTCTGCATCTTTGTTTGGTTCTGTATATTCAAGAGTTTAGAGAGTGTTGGTGACCGCCTGTGACTCTTTGAGACTTTCTGGGTGGATTCTTGGCCTTCCACGAGACTGTCTGTTGGTGACTGAATGGGATGTGGTCTGTAGCTGAGTTATGTGTGAGGCTGAGGAAACAGACTGAAGAGTGGTTATTTTGTGAAACTCTCCCCAGGAAGCTTGTGTGCCTCGGTGGGCCACAGAGACTGTGGCAGACTGTCCTGTCCAACGTGACACAACCTGGAGGAGACGCTTGGGTAAGGAAGAGTTGCCTAATTCAGACTGGCCTGCGGCCATGACTGTGGGCATCCGCTGAGGCCTTCTAGGGTTCCTTGATTACTAAGTGATGTGGGAGGGCCAGGCCACTGTGAGCGCTGTCACCCCTAAGCAGGTGGTCCTCGATTGTGTAAGAAGGGCAGCTGAACAGGAGCCAGGGGTCAGGCCTGCAAGCAGCATTCCTCTGTGGTTTTGCTGCAAGCCCCTGCTTGAGTTCTCGTCCTGACATCCCTCAGTGATGGGCTGTGACCTGGGGTTATAACCCAAATAAACCCTTTCCTCCTCTCAATTGCTTTTGGTCCATGTTTTGGTGTGGTGGGCGGGGATGATGAATTTCCTGGGAGCAACCTGGGACCTCTACAGACACAGAGGGCAGGACCAACCAGGAGAAAATGAAAGAAGAGGATGTTCCCTCTAATAAAGACACCAGGGCCGGGCATGGCTGTGCCCTGCCTTTAATCCCAGCACTCGGGAGACGGAGGCAGGAGGATCTCTGTGAGTGTGAGGCTAGCCTGGTCTACACAGTGAGTTCTGGGATAAGCAAGGCTGTGTAATGCAAACCTGTCTATAAACAAACAAATATGTAAATAAATGGACCTCTGGGTTAGAGAGACACCTCAGTAGTTAAGAGCACTGGTTGCTCTTCCACAGGCTCTGGTTCAATTCCCAGCACCCAAACGGCAGCTCACAACTGTCTGGGACTACCAGGTCCAGGGAATCAGATGTTCTCTTCTGGCCTCCGTAGGGATGGAGATGGTACTCAGACACGCAAGCAGGCAGAACACCCATACTCATAAGAGTAAAATTAAATTAAAAAGACACCCGCAGCTGTGGGTGGGCCCATCAACTGAGATGGGGGTGGGGAGGTGGAGGATGAGCTTTCCAGCTGTGAAAACAGCATACCTGAAGGCCTTGGGATAGGAGGAGACCTCCAAGGGGGCTTGGTCTTCCTAGAGCCTCTAGGGAGTGCTACCTGGTGTAGTCTGGATTCTGGCTGCAGGGTCTTCATCTCCTGAAACATCTTCCTGACCAGAAACCTCAGATCTGACCTGGGCCAGCATCTTGCTTGGCTCCAGAGCTGGTTTTCTCTCTTCTTTGTCCTCGGTTTCCTGGCCTGTACAGTGAGGAATGAGCTCCTAATCCATACTCATGAAGACATACTGGAATCCCTCCTCCTCACACTAAAGAGGGGTATATGTTGAGACCCAGGGTCCCAGTCACAGGGAGTCTATGTTTAGGAGAGACATGCAGTGATGTAAGGTAGAGCCAGACTGGAGGCTGGATGAAGCCTGTTGGCCTTTGTGGAGGAAAAGCTTAGATGGGGGGGGGGGGGACTGTGAGAGCAGTGAGTTTTTATGCAGGTAAGGGTGGGAGGAAGGGGCTAGGAAAGGAGGCAGGGTCTTAGGATACAAAGAATGAGTGTAGACACAATGGGGAGAGGGTGACACTTCCCCTCATTTGAATGACAGCCAGTGCAGCTTCCACTGACTAAGGCTGGGCATCAGAGAGGAGTTTGGGGAGTTGTTGAATCTTGTTTGAGGGGTCCCAGAGAGGTCCAGGAGGGCATCAGGAGGCAACCAGTACGTGACATGCTTCTGTACATAGATACACATATTTCCTGAGTCAAAGGCCAGGGCCTACAGTGTGGCTAGCAACCTGAGAGGGACAACAGGCAAGTTTTAAGACAGAGCTAACCCAGGGAAATCAGGGCCTCTGCTTTCTGCCATGTGAGGTCATCCAGGAAGTGCCCAGGCTTCAGGATCACCGACTGGGGCGAGGCAGGCAGCAAGGGAGGGCCTGTGAAGAAGCCAGCTGAGAACAGAACTCAAAGAATAGATCTTTGAGCACAGGGGAGATCTTCAGACAGAGGGCAATGCTGGTGGCTTAGGGGTTGACAGAGTACCTCATCCTAGGATCAGGGAGGTACAGCCAACATAGTTCCCATTGTCTGAGGAGGAGGCTGAAGCCCAGGGAAGGAGCTTCCATGGTGGTGCACCTCTGTAATCCCAGCACTCAGGGAGGCAGAGGCAGGCGGATCTCTGTAAGCATGAGGCCAGCCTGGTCTATACACAGGACAGCCAAGGCTACACAGAGAAAGAGAAACCCTGTCTCAGACAAAAAACAAAAACAAACAAACAAACAAACCTAGCACCAGAAATTTAAAAATAAATCAAGTTTTCTGATGCTCAGAGAGCAAAAGCACCAGGCATTGAGCTCAGCAGGAGGCGTCCAGAAAAATACTTCAGGTGGCTAGGAGTGATTAGAGCATTGGCAAAGAAAAGCCCAGCAAGGACGCGGCCAATATCATCAGACCCTGACATCTGGGCCCAGGGTTACTTTTCATGGGCCTGAGCTCTCTGGGTTCCAGCTCAGTTGTCAGCAGTATCACGTCTATAACCTCCCCGTCAATTCTAATGCATTCTGGGCCACTTCAGGAGATATCTGAAAATTCCCTTTCAGAATTTCAGGTTGTCCTGAACCCTTGTTTTTCCCTTCCCCTTCCTTTTCTTTGAAGTGTGTATGTAGGGGGTGGGGGAGGGTACTGGGTGCCAGGGCAGGGTTGATG